GAGAGGTGCTGCAAAATTTTTGATGAAAATATTTTGCTGAAATTATACAAATCGAGGAGATCTAATATGTTAGCAACTTCATCATCTATTGATGCATGGTCAATATTATACATTTTTAGCTATGTTTATTTACATTATTATCTCAAAAAAGGTATATGGAAAAAAGATGAGAGAAAAATTGTTTAGGGAAAATTAGGGTACTTCATAAAATTAGAAACATTTATATAAGATTGTTAAAAGAAGACAACAAAAGAAAAATATAGAAAATGTAGAAAACATAATAGAAAACTAAGTCGATTTGAAAATCATTAAATGGTTATAAATAAGTAGAATGCATTAAAAATAAGTTTAGAACTTTAATTTTTTTTAAAAAAATTAAAATAAGGATAATACACGGGGAAATATATTTACAATTTTTTCAGACAGATAAAATTCATAAATAATTAACATGACTCCAATTAAGTCCATTTTAAACTCGTTAAGATCAATAGAAATAAGAAGAATAAAAAAAATGTGTACCATTATTTAAGTAGTTTCACTTTCGTGGACTTCCTTTACATTTGTTATCTCCTGATGTAGATGAATTCGCAATGGATGTACACCGTGGACCGATGGTCGAAGGAATTTATTGATAGCGTGTATTATTTTTTGAGTGTAGCCAATGCCCACAAGCCTAAGGGTTTTATATGTTATCCATGCAAAAAGTGCAAAAACCAGAAAGAGTATTCTACATCAAGAACTCTTCATATCCACTTGTTGAAGTTGGGATTCATGCCTAGCTATAATTGTTGGACCTCGCACAGAGAGTTAGGGGTTGTAATGGAAGAAGTTGATGAAGAAGACGACAACATTCCAGACTGTGCTCAATACGATGGATTTGTAGGCAAGGTAGACAGAGTTGTCGAAGAAAACGTTGTAGCGGATGATCTTGGTCAAATGTTGTGCGACGTAAAAATGGATTGCGAAAATGAAAAGGAGATCCAAAAATTGGAGTGGATGTTAGCGGACCACAAGGCGTCCTTATACTCAGGTTGTGAACAGGGGCACAAAAAGTTGAGTACCACGCTGGAATTTTTGCATTGGAAGGCAAAAAATGGTAAAGAATATTCTTTCTAATTGAAACGAATTGCTCGAAACAACATAAGAAGTTAAAAAGGTAGTATGCCCTTTACGACCAGAAGTCCAGGAGATACACGCATGTTTGAACGATTGTATCCTGTATCGTGGTGAGGAGTACGAGAATCTAGAAGCATGCCCGGTTTGTAATGCACTACGATACAAGATTATAGGAGATGACCCAGGCGATGTTGACGGACAGCCTTTGAAGAAGAAAATTTCTGCTAAGGTGATGTCGTATTTCCCAATAATACCACGGCTAAGGCGTTTGTTCACGAACAACGCGCATGCTAGAACGATGTGCTGTCGCGCAGAAGAATGTAAACATGATAGGATGCTGAGACACCCCGCCAATGGGTCGTAGTGATGAAACATCGATGGAACATAAGGTTCGGTTTAAGTACGGATGGAATGAATCCATTTGGAGAGATGAGTAGCGGTCATAGCACTTGGCTTGTGGACATGTGTATATACAACCTTCCCCCTTGGTTATACATGAAGAGGAAGTACATCATGATGCCGATTATTATTCAAGGCCCAAAGTAATTTGGTAACTACATTGATGTGTACATAAGAGATAAGACCGTTGGTTGAAGACCTAAAACTGCTGTGGAAGAAATAATGTGTCCTTGTGTGGGATGAAGACAAACAAGAGCAATCTAACCTATGAGCATTGCAGTTTGTAACCGTTAATGATTGTTCTGGACTTAGCAACCTATCCGAACAATCAAACAAGAGGTATAAGGCTTGCACCCACTTTTTGGATGATACTTACAGTAAGTACTTGAAGCATTGTAGGAAGGTTGTGTACATGAGCCATCGTCGATTTCCAGTTGCAAGCCACCCTGTACGAAAGAAAGACAAACATTTTGAAGAGAAGGTAGACCACCGTACAAAGCCTAAATATCGTAACGGAAAAACCGTGTTTGTTATGGTGAAAGATTTGAAGGTTGTATTTGGAAAAGGACCAGGCAACCATCTGATAGCAAGTAAGATGGTCACGCGACGATGTGGAAGAACAAGTCTATTTTTTGGGAGTTACCCTATTAGGAGGTCTTAGAGGTCCGAGACACAATTGATGTGATGCATCTCACTGAGAACTTGTGCGTCAACATGCTTGGCTTCCTAGGTGTTTATGGGAAGTTGAAAGATACGTTCAAAGGACGTAATGATCTCAAGTATATGAAACAACACGATGGCCTTCATCCAGAACCAAAGTAGAAAGGAAGTCATTACTTGAGTCTAGCCAGCTACACTCTGAGCAAGGCAGCGAAAGAAAGTTTGTTCGAATCCTTGGAGAGCATCAAGGTTTCGTCTTGATACTCCTCGAATATAAAGAGAATAATAAGCATGAAAAAGAAGAAGTTCACAAACCTTAAATCTCTACTTCCTATTATAATTCGGGGCATCCTTCCTGATAATATCTAGACAAAAATAAGAAAGCCATGTGCTTTCCTGAACGAAATTGCACAGAAGATCATTGACCCCGACAGATTAACGAACCTAGAATATGACGTGGTACAATGTCTTGTCAGCTTTGAGATGATCTTTCCACCATCTTTCTTCAATATAATAACACGTCTTCTATGTCACCTTGTAAAAGAGATCGGTATTCTCGGTTGTGTACCTGCACAACATGTTCCCTTTCGAGAGGTACATTGGCGTTCTAAAGAAGTACGTTCGTAACCGTTCTCATCCGGAATCTAGCATAGCCATGCAGTATGAAACAGAGGAGGTCATTTAGTTCTGCGTAGAATTTATTGAAGACCAACATCCAATCGGGGTCCTGAATCAAGCCATGAGTAGAGACTGCGGGGAAAGGGAACTCTTGGAAGGAAAGAAATATTGATTGTAGACAATGATTTATTCTGTAAAGCACAATTCACGGTTTTGCAATAATCTTCGTTAATTGGTGGATCCTTACATCGAGGAGCACTTGGCCGTTGTTCTCTCCAAAAATATCGGAAATTGCCACCAGATCCACCTCAACTAGGGGTTCGGTCAATAGATATGCCCTGGTGTATGGATCCATAGCCTCCGGCCCAACTGCCGATAGCTCCGCAACTCCAGGACCCGTGGCCATCGAACTACACCCTTCCCACCATCGGAGGGAGAAGGCTGATGATCTCCGAGGCATTTTTTAATCCAGTAAAAAGATAATAAACATGACACGTTTACCAGGAATTGATCTCGTGATAGTGCTAAATATGAACATGTTAATAACTTGATAAGCTTTCTCAAAAAAAAAGAAAAACTTGACAAGCATCATCAAGAAGCATGTTTAACACTACAGTGATGAAGGTAACTTACCCAGAGAACTCTCCAGTACTAGATGAGATAGTGTTGGTGTTGATGCCTCCGATCCGTTGGTGTTGCTGTTCTCGCCTCCTATAGTGCCGTTGCCTCTAGCACCACCATTGGCGCTGTTGCCACCAACACCTCCAACATTGCCGCTACTGGGTGACATGTCGACATAGAGGAAGTAAACAAAGCAGTGCAGAGAGTCGACATAGAGGAAGCAGTGCATAACTGATGCAGAGCAATCGCACTAGAAAACGCTCCCCAATTACTTGTGTAGGTACCCAAGCAGACGGAGTTCCGGAGGCTTGGTTCTCCCAAGTATCCATGCATGCAGATGCTTAGAACTGGGGAAATAGAGGCGCAGCTCATGAGCAGAAACAATAGAATCAGAGTGAAGGATGAACATAGAGAGTTTTGGGGTGTGCTCTGTACTGTGCCGGCGGTGGAGTGGGGTGGGATTTATACTGCACGTATGACAGAGAGATGTTAGCAGATAATCAATATGATTCAATGCCGATTTACTGCTCTGCCCGTTACCGGAGTAACGTCACCTGTCGGTTATGCTTTGTTCATCAAAACAAATCGTAACGTTGGGAGAGGAATCTGCCTCGCACGCATGTCCGGCTAGGCTTATTGCGCACGTGCGCATGTGACAGTCGCACCACTACCTCAATCGCCCAAGATGCTCTCTCCAATAGCAACATATTTAAGTTGACATCCCTCCATATTGATTTCCAAGATGGTATTAATTTCTTAACATTAGCTGTGGGCTTATGGAATTTATTATGCCATTTAATCTAACAACAATCTCTACATCCACCACCCCGAGAGAGAGAGTGAGAGAGAACGAGACGAAATGAGTTAGAACGAGAGGATGAGAACACAGGAGAGCAGACAAGAGAGGATTGGAGTAAGTGTGCATTGGTGCTGTGCGTGTGTTCGTGTGCCTGCAAGAGGGCGTGCTAAGTGGTTTGCTTGGGAAAATCGATTTTTTTTTAATTTACCTTTATGGGAAACCCTTTATTTTATTTTCATACGGGCCCTCTTTTTCTCGTTTGTGAACATGAAGGGGTATCCATAAAGATATTTTTTATTTTAGAAAGTTAAATTAGGATATATGTTAGAGGGTAAGATAATATTATACCTTTAAATCACAGTAGATATTCCAAAAATAAGATTTGGGGGATTGAGTTTTGGTATTTTGTTGGTGATGTTCTGAGTCTCCGTCAACGCGCGAACTACAGGTATGGCGTTTTCTTACCACAAGTCAGTCAACTGGAAGTACTGCTCCGACCGTTTCAAAATGTTTGACACCGTTGACTTTTTAGTACATGTTTTGACTGTTCGTCTTATTAAAAAAATTTGTAAAATATGTAAAACTATAGGTGCACATGAAAGTATATTTAACAATGAATCAAATGGTATAAAAAGAATAAATAATTAATTAAATTTTTTGAATAAGACGAATGATCAAACACGTACTTAAAAAATCAACAGTATCAAATATTTTGAAACGGAGGGAGTACTACACAACGTGTATATATAGGAGGAGCTAGCTAGATACTGCCTTGCGCGCCATCTGCAAGTGACGCGCAAGATCCCATATTCTAGCTAGCTCGGCTCGGCAGCCAACAATGGCCCTCTTGCTTTTCTTCGCTGCGTTCGTGTTAGCCGCCGTGGCTCCTGCGGCCGGCCAGCGGAAAGGTTTAATTTTGATTTTTTTTTCAGTGCATCCATAGTACTAGTACTAGCATAATTGCAAATAAATTTCTGTATAAAATACTCAATTATCGGCTCATAAGATACTTGCACGCCTGTTTTGTTTAGATAATGAATCTTACTTATTTAATTAACGTTCCTAGGAAGCTAATTTATCCCAAGAGAAGACGTTCCCTTGTTTCTCTAAACTAGCCCGCCTATTCTCACGGACATGAATATTAGGTTATGTAATGGTTAGAAATTTAGGCACGGACTTGAATCTTGGGTTATGTAATGGTTAGAAATTTATAATGGCTCATTCGGAATGCAGGATTGAAAAAACATAGGAACAGGAAAAACGTAGGAATAGGATAGGAATGCAAGTGTAAAACAAAGGATTTGAAAACATAGGAATTTCATGTGAATAGGTGTTTGGATGGAGTAAAGGAAAAACATAGGAATCTTTAAGAAAATAGGTGCACTATTACAAAATTATCACATGCTACTAGTGAATTAAACAACATTAATCAACCTAATAATATGCTTTAGTTGCTTGATGGCATGATTTGTCTCGTTCCCACGCGGAGGGAGAGAAAAAAGAGGTCGGCGTGGATTTTTTTTTCCTGTGACCTTGCAGTGGTATGGCTAGCGCAGGAATTTTCCCTATGTATTTCCTACGAATGTTTTCCTGTGATCCGAATGACGCCACAGTAAAGTAATCCATAGGAACCAAAATCCTTCATTTTTCCAATGTTTCTCCTCCATTCCGAATAAGCCCTTAAGAGTATAATATCAGCCAGATTATTCATGTTGCATTTCAAAAGTACTATTTCCAAAGTCAATTTCTGTATAAAATACTCAATTATCGGCTCATAAGATACTTGCACGCCTGTTTTGTTTAGATAATGAATCTTACTTTGTTAATTAACGTTCCTAGGAAGCTAATTTATCCCAAGAGAAGACGTTCCCTTGTTTCTCTAAACTAGCCCGCCTATCGCCAGGACATGAATCTTAGGTTATGCAATGGTTAGAAATTTAGGCACGGACTTGAATCTTGGGTTATGTAATGGTTAGAAATTTATAAGAGTATAATATCAGCCAGATTATTCATGTTGCATTTCAAAAGTACTATTTCCAAAGGCATTTTCATTGGTATTGATTAAATAACTTTTTTCCAATCTATTTGTTATCTTTATATCATATAGTACAATATATATATAATTTACCCCTATAAGCAATCACTACTACATAAATGCTTTTTCCATGTGGTCGGAACACATTTTCGCAGGCACGTGAAGCGCACGTGTGCCCATAGGTGTCTGATTTTTGTCAGCAAAAATCAGTAATTATCTAGGTGGGAAGCCGCTGACCGCATGCAAAAACAAAATTCAGCAAAACAGAATCCAAAAAATAAATCCAGAAACCCTAGCAGAAGCTCCCATTCCGTCGCCACTGTCGCTTCTCGCCACCCCTTCACCGGCGGTGTTGTATCCTGCACCTCCACCATCGCTGTCATTGAGATGCTGTAGCCGCCATCATTGGGGCCGCCACTGTCGGAGTCGCCGTCACCAGATCCACTGCTCCAGAGCTCGCAGGCAGCGGATCCGCTACTCCCGTTGCCATCGCCGGTGGACCAGCTGCCACCCCTGAGCTCCTTGCCACCGCCCGAAGCCGCCGCCACTGTCGTCGTCACTTGAAGTCACCGGATCCGCCCCTCCCATCGCTAGATCCGCGCGCGAGGGGGATGGAGAGGCGGCGGGATCCATGCGGGAGGGGGAGGGCCCACCGGATCTGCCCCTTCCGTGGCCGGATCCGCGCGTGTGGGGGGTGGAGAGGCGGCCGGTGCTGTCCGAGGCCACCGCCGTCACTCGAGCATGACATCGGTGGGAGTGGGGGAAAGAGAGAGGCCGGATGGAAGGGGAGAAGTGGAGAGGAGGGGAGAAGTGGAGAGGAGGAGAAGTAGGAGGAGTGCTGCTTTGCTGCACGTGCATTATGCTTTCTGCAAACACACTTATATGTTGTCACTTAGTTATCCCATGAACGCTCCTAAATCTCTACATGGCGTTTCAATAGATTAGAAATTAATATCTAGCCCTTAATTTTTTTCTTAAACTAGTGATCCATTATTTTATACTAAAAGTGCACTTTTAGTATATAATCGAACATAGATAGATAGTATTTAAATATTTCTTAAAAATATCTAACAATATAGAGCGTAATGACATATATCAAATTGATCTACCTATGAATAATAATTGTACATTTCACATCTAAATTTGACCTTTTTTTCTTAACGTGTAACCTATGAATAATACACTTATAAATTTACTTAATTTAATTTTGAACTTTTTTAGTGATATATCTCATTGTTAATTTTTTTTAGAATTTATCAACCTATCAAACTTCGTACAAACGCTCTTGGGCCGCCACGTGGCAATCTAAAAACGCTCCTAAGCCGCCACGTGGCAGAAATACATCCAGCCCTTAATTTTTATTTAAATTGGTGAACCCATTAATATGGACCATTAGATTAGATTAAAAAAAAACCCACCCCTTCTCTTCTGCCTATGTATGACAGGTGCGAGGGTATTGTGCCGTCAAAAATGTCATCAGCAGATATACGTCAAGGAAAATACGTATATACGCACTGTTCACAGGAAGAAAGTAGGAAATAAACATACATACTACCTCTGTACGCGTGTACGATTAGGAAAAAAATGTTAATCCTTCTGTCCTAATATGGAATACGAGGTTACTTATTATTATGCACATGTTTCGATGCTAAGTATTAATAAGATTTTTTTTAAAAAAAATAAGGCCATGTTTCGATGCTGTAAAAGTTTGGCCAAATTTTTTTTTGACATATACGGCCACACATTTGAAATATTAAACGTAGACTAATAATAAAAAGAATTACAGATTCCGACTGTAAACTGCGAGACAAATCTTCTGAGCCTAATTACGTCATGATTAGCCATAAGTGCTATAGTAATCCATATGTACTAATGACGGATTAATTATTTCTTTAAATGTATTCTCGCGATTTACAGTCGGACTGTGCAATTAGTTTTTCTTTTTGTCCATATTTGATGCTCCATACATGTGTCCAAACATTTGATGTGACGAAAAAGTTGAAAGTTTGAAGAAAAAAGTTGGAATCTAAACACAGCCTAAGTATTAGTTTAAAAAACTTAAAACGGGTTAATATGACTTTTTACAGCCACATTTCTATAATTTTTTTTTGCAAACAAAATACACCGTTTAGTAGTAGCAGAAATCGTACGTGCGGGAAGCGAGGATTGGAACCGAGACCTGTGAACACAGCCAAAAGTTGTTATGTTTGTATGCGTATCTACCATCTGTCCTTCCAAACATAAGTACACGTGGTACTCACTATACGCTGAAAAAAGCAGAAAATAAAACTTGTAGATACAGTTGGGAAAAGTAAATCCATCCTTCCCTCTTAATTTTAGATTCAAACCTGTTATGCTTGTATACATACACATGATCAGTTCATGATCCGCACCCTCCTCTATGGTTTCTTTTACTCTCTTTATTTTCTACCATAGTGATTATTTAAACCATAATTCACTATTTAAAATAGGATCTATCTTCAATATAAAACAGAAGAAAATATATTGCATCCTATATTAACTATATTTTTATACTAACTACATTTTAATTAAAAAATGTTCACATATGGAATATTGTATTTATTTATTTTATAAAGTAGACGAACACGTGCACACACACCACTACATACGCAGCTTCACACTCACATCTCCACAAATGCACCTTCTAACACACGTTTATATAATCCTATTGAAAGTGCACCTACATGTGCATAATATTTATTGTCAAAATATTTTATTATAGCCTTTCTTAGTGGAAAATAGCCTATATTCTAATAAAAAATGTCACATTAATATCCTTTTGCATGTCCTTCTCACGTAGCAATTAGTATTGACAACCATTTGCTCGCCAACATGTATTGCTAAATTAGATCTATAATAACCACGTGACACACGCCGTGAGTATTCATTGATATAGCTTATCTTTACATTTTCTTTAATATAGTACGGGGTTACGATATAAGTATTAAAAAGTATCTAAAAATTATTAGATCCATAATAATATCAAAACCCACTAACTCATGTTAGTGAGATTATTACTCGAGTGAATATTTTTTTTCCATGTGTTTCTCGCTACCATTGAGTCTGTTAATTTTTAGGCAGATTGTAATTAATTTGGTCAATATGATTGAATAGAGTGCCAGATAATTTCTCTTAATAAAATATGTTAAGAACTATGCTTTTATTAAAAAAATTGCACATGGAACTATGTTCTAACATTTTACATGTTATGCAAATAAAAGTAGCAAACTTGACGACATAATATATCACCGGTCTTGAAACGTTCATAACTTTTAAATTATACATGCAATTTACCATCAAGTTTTTTTTTTGACTGAACAATTTATCATCATGTTGTACTCCTTTAATTAAACAAACCATTAATGACTCATAATAGCTATACTATAGTGCTAAATACATCATGACATATGCGTCGATATGTAATAAATGATGTTATGATATTTTTAAATAATTTCACATCATATTTTTATATTTGTATGGTGTCAAATATCACTGGACAAATATTCAATGCTAATTTGAATATGTATGTATGTATATATATATATATATATATATATATATATATATATATATATATATATATATATATATATATATATATATATATATATATGTGTGTGTGTGTGTGTGTATATGTAAAAATGAAAAAAATGAAATTTATCCATGTTTAGGGTCGTATATGTCGGTTTTTTATAAAAAAAAATTTAATTAGATAGATCATAACTCTCAAGTTATCAGAAAAAAAAATGAAAAAGATCTGTTCGTTGATTTCAACTAAAGCTGTTGGATCCAGTATGCATGTCACACAGTAAGATTAGATTTGTAAAATAACATGCCTATGTTCGGCCTTGGAGCGATATAGAAATAACGAACATTCTCTCTCTCTCAGTGTACGTACTTAAGTGTACTTACATAGTGCAAGAGTATACCGTGGTTAACTACTTTAAAATAACTGTTCATCTAATTTCCAACTGGTTTGTATATTTATATTATTTGTGATTAAGCTAATAATTTAAGACCCATGTTAACTATATTTTGACTATAGAAATGATATGCCACATGGGCTAATTTTCTACGCATCATGTAGCTAAATTAGAACCATGATAACAATGATGACGATGCTCTACGTATTTTCATGGTGTCTATAATTTTTTAAGTAGTGTCAAATAACCAACTACACGCATCAAATTTAAAAGATGAAAAATGTATATATACAACTAAATTTGATACTATAATTTAAGTGCACCAATTACTTAATAAAAATGTGTCTCCACTAAATAAAAAATAGACTAAAAACTTCCGCATAATGATACCCTCACGGATCCCATATATTCTTTTGTTCTTCCCTATCTTCCCTTTGTCTCCCTAACTCTTCTCACTGTCCTCCTAATAGTCCCCAATTCATCCCATAATAAACTATGATAATATCTATGTAATTAAAAAAATACCTTACTTTTACTTTCGTTGATATGTTTTCTAAAGAAAGTAAGTCTACCTTCTTTTCAAATGATAAAGAAGATTGTAAATAATTGCTTATAAATATTACTTAAATATGATATAATATAAAGCTAATAGGTTAGAAAATTATAAAAACAATTAATTAATACCGATGAAAAAATTATGGAGAAATCGTGGCAAATGTGTCTCAAACTTAGCATTCGACGGATGCCCGCGTGAATGCGCGGGCTACCTTCCTAGTTTATATTAAACTTAGGAAAAAATATATCAAAAGGGGGACATCTCTCTTTGAGGGATTAGGATATCCATTCCTAGTTACTTTTCTTTCGGGTTTGATGTTCATCACCATTTGTGAGTGCATGACTGCATATGCAGGTTTCTTGAGCATTGACTGTGGTCTAGAGGCCGACTCTGGTGCCTACACGGACATTGATAGAGGCATCTTCTACGTCCCCGATGGCCCGTACGTTGATGCTGGGGAGAACCACGAGGTTGCAGCCGACCTCAAGGAAGGTCATATACGCCCTGATCTGACCGTCAGGAGCTTCCCTTCCGGCATGCGGAACTGCTACACATTGCCCACAGATGCTGGGAGCAAGTATCTGGTCCGGGTGGTGGCCGTCTATGGCAACTACGACGGCAAGAACAACTCCGTTGGGTTGCAGTTCAACCTGCACATTGGGACGAACTACTGGGACACCGTGCAGCCGGCCGATGGGAGGCAGGTGTACGAGGCGTTGTTCGTGGCGTGGGGAAGCTGGGCACCCGTGTGTCTTGTGAACACCGGCCAGGGTACGCCATTCGCGTCGTCGGTTGAGCTGAGGCCGCTTGGCAGCGAGCTCTACCCGGCCGTCATGGCCAACCAGTACATTCGCTTGTATCGTCGGCGTAATTTGGGGCCAACGACCGCTAGCGTTACTCGGTACGTATATATATAATTGTGTTACTGATAATTACTATTTGCTAATCCATGCCATTCATGTTATACATCTGTTTAAATCTCTGTTTGAAATTGATATATCCTATATAGTTAGAACAAAAAGCTTGATACACATTGAATCATATCATTTAGAAAATAGTAGCTTTTAGATCTATCTAATGCTTTGATCTTAACCATCCACCATATGCATTTACAATCATTAAGTGTAGTTATTGCTATAAAGCTTAATGTCATTCAACCATAACACTTGGAAAAATAGCAACATTGGATTTCTCTTATGCTTGATACACAACCATCCAAATGTTATATACAATTGCAATCTCACATCAATTGTGCCATCTTGAATCGCTAGAAGGTTGTCTAGGGATGCTATTTGGCGCATATTCGTTACTTCTGATTAGTGGGCGCACTCAAAATAAAATAAACGCTCTCGACTCCAGTCTATCGCTCCTACATGCCCAGCTTCCCATGAGCATGCTTGACGTTTACCCGATGGGTAAATTTCCGTGCCATTTTTCCTGACCAAGCACAATGACAAGTGACCTTTGATCCTCCTCGTCGTGACCCATTCGTGAGATGATTAGTGGGCTCACATTCGCGCACTAGTCATTCCGCTTGAAGCCAACAGTACAGGTTTGGCATGCCATGGACCGCCAACCCCTATGGCGAGGAGACCGGGGACACCGAGAGTAACGACAAGGAGGCCAGGGGCCACTAGATCTGGTCATGCTCCGGTAGGGGTGGATACCGAGCTGGCTCGACTTAGCTTGACTCGCTCGGTCTGGCTCGTTAGGATAATGAGCTAGCTCGGCTCGGCTCGTTATCCTAACAAGCTAGAAGCCCAGCTCGGCTCGACTCGGTTGGAAGCTTGAGCCAGCTCGTTTAACTCGTGCGCCAAGACACTCAAGTCAAGTTTGCAAATGCGCAAAGTACCCACTCCAACAAGCAAATCAACAAATGCATCCTCAGTCACCAGTTCAAATATTTCGACCATTTGATCCATCAAAGGAGGAAGAAAATAAGAGAGTTGAAAGTTTCCTACTGTGACAGCGAAAAAGTGAACAGAAAAGCTTTCTTTCTTCTTCATCCTCCATGCCCATAGCAGACAAGCGCACAGCCGGCGGCCTCACAGGATGAAGGCAGGGAGTAGCACCTGATGTAGGTAGGGAGCAGTGCAGTACGGAGGTAGGGAAGAAGGGAGCAGCGTCGGACGGAGGTAGAAAGCGACACCAGTGAGTGATTGAGGTAGGGAGCGGCACTGACGCAGGAGCGGGGAGAAGGCACGCCACATGTGTAGTGGCAGAGCGGCGGACGGTGGCTCGATCTGGAAGTTTCCTTCTCGATCTGGACACGAGAGATGGAGTTGTGGCGGCGTGGAGCGATGGGAAACAGGGAGAGATCAAGAGAAAGAAAGAGATCAGTGTGATGCGTGTGTGCTATGACTAAAGCCTAGGGTTTTTTCATTGCCATGCTACCGAATGGGCCAGGTGACCTATTGGCTTTGTTGGGCTACAATCAAACTTCTCCTTAATTCCTGGGCTAGGTGGCTGTTGGTTTGGCTCGTTTTGGCTCGTGAGTAGCTCGCGAGTCAGCTCGACCTAGCTCGTTATAACAAACGAGCTGAAACCTTGGTTTGTTAATAAATCCAAACGAGTCGAGTCGAGCTGAGCCGAGCTAGAAACGAGCCGAGCGAGCTAATGAGTCACGAGCTTTTCGTCCAGCCCTATGCTTCGGCAATACCAGTGGTCGGTGAAGCAAATGCTTCTGTTCGTTTTCTAGGCCCAGGAGCAACAAATCTGGTGGTGATGGGCCTAGGCCTTCCAATTGGGGACGATTGACACACTTGTTGTTGTTTTGATTAGGAGTGCTGATTCACACATACATGCTGGCAGGTGAACTCACGCGCATGGTCCTAACCGTGTCATGATGTGCATCGGGCATAAAGGGATGGCCTAAGAGGTGGTGGACTAGCGGTGGCTACCAAACAAGGGTGGGCGGCGCCGAGGAGCCATGTGGTCGACAGCGAGCGGTGGGCCAGTGTTGGTTGTGCGGCAAAGCGAGGTGAAGGAGAGGGGGAGGAGGCCGTGCTGGCATGTTGACGCCTTTTGGCACCAGTGAGACCGGACAACGACATGGTTGGGAGGGGAGGTGTGCTGCAGAAAGAACTGACCTGGTTGCCAGATGATCTCGTTGGAGGAAGCTCGTTGGAGGGAGGAGGAGGTTCGTCAGAAGTATAAGTTGCTTCCAACGTCGCTAAACTACTAATATGGTACTAAACATGTGCACATAGCTCTCATGAGCCACACATGGGTCATCCAAATTGGGCCAGATGTCATAGTGGACGGGGAGGAGGCCATCGGGGTCGGGATGGGGAAGAGGCCTGCAACGTTGTGGGAAGGGGCTGAGGCTAGCGCAGGGAGGCAGGCCATGGACCGCTAACCCCTCTAGCGAGGAGACCGGGGACCCCAAGAGCGACGACTTGGAAGCTGGGGCTACTTGAGTTGGTCATGCTTCGGGGGTACGAACGGTCGGTGAAGTGAGCGGAGACGAATGCTTCTGTGCGTTTTTCAGGCCTTAGGAGCAACAGATCTAGTCTTTCTGTTGCTGTTTTGATCAAGAATGCTAATTCGCGCATACGCGCTAGCAGGCAAACTCGTGTGGGCTGTCTTGACCGCGTCATGATAAGCGCCAGGGCTTAGAGGGACGACTTATGAGGCGACGGACTGGCGGTGGGTGGCAGATAAGAGCGGGCGCCGTCGGCGGAGTCACAGAGTTGGCAACAGATGGCGGGTTGGTGTTGGTGGCGGCAGTAAAGCATGGTAAAGTGAAGGGTGAGGAGGACGGTTGAGCGGGGCCCATGCTGACATGTTGAGGCATCGGTGAGTAGGGGGATGGGGGGGGAGGGGGGGTTGGTTGTGGTGCAAAAAGAACTAACCTAGTTGCCAGACAATCTCGTCGTAGGAAGCTCACCGGAGGGGGAGGATGGGGCTTGCCGGATAGAGGCCTTCATCGTCATCATCACTGGTGGAAGGCTGCTCAGTTTCATCCCCTCTTCTTCGTTGGAGGAGTTTGCCGGAGGGGAGGGGGGCTCGTCGGAGGGAGAAGGATCGAGCTTACTGGAGTGTCATCGTCCGAGGAGAGAGAGAGGGGGGGGGGAGGGGGAGGGGTGGAAGATGGGATAAGGTGGAGAGATGGTTGTGGGCCGTGCATCGTGCGCGACGTACATGTCTAGCGCGCCGCGCGCGTGTGCGTAATATATAGCCATCCCCTGTTTTGATTGGGTTTCCAGGGTTTTGGAGAATTTGTAACTCGGAGCATTCTGCGGGCTGTGATTGATCTGGTTTTTCTTTTTTTATTTTTTTTTGCCAAAAAAACATTTGCACGTCTCTTTACCGTATGGCCTATCTGCGTGTGAGTACAGCGCCCAGTATATGCCATTCGCGTCCTCAATTGAAGTCAATGGTTTTAGCAGATGGAAGACAGTTTTAGGAGTGCTACTGTAGACCAGTTGTGAAGAACTGACAATATAACGGCAGCTGTATTCTTGTTTATATATGTGTTATTACATCTCGTCCCTAGTTTTGTTAGTAATAATACTGATTTTATTCAGATGTTTAATCTTTTTGTTCCTTTTTTTACATATATATAGGTACCCTAACGATCCATTTGATCGGTACTGGTGGCACCAGGACACTAATAATCCAATGTGGGAGAATCTTACCACCACATCGATCAACATCAAGCTGGAATCCAGCTTCGAGGTGCCCGCAGCAATTCTTAAAGATGCCGTCCAAGTGGCTGGGAACAGCACGATACTCAACATAAAATGGCAAGACAACACAGGCCGCCAGTTCGCGGTGTTTCTGCATTTCGCCGACTTCCAGGACAGCCAGGTCCGTGAATTTAACGTCTATTTCAACAGCGGGCCGCCCAACAAGTACAGGCCGCACTACCTGGCTGCTGGTTTCGTCTACAGCACTAGATGGTACAGGGCCATCGATGGAGACTTCAACGTCACTCTTGCGGCCACGCCCGAGTCCGTGCTGCCCCCGATGCTCAATGCATATGAGATCTACACTCTCATCTCCATGACACTCCCACCACATTTCAACAAGACGGTAAGCAGACCACAACATATATATATATATATATATATATATATATATATATATATATATATATATATATATACATTTCAAACTGTTTCTTTTTGAGAACCAAAAAAACTTGTGCCAAAATAACGGATGCGAAGAAGAACAAAAGGCCTTGAACGCGTAATGGATCCTGAAGCACTATTTCTGCATCCCCCTGACCAAACCCTCCCACATTAGGATTACTTGTTAATGGTTGATCAAGCTTGATCGATTCCCCCTCTGAAACAAGAAGTTCTGGACCGGGAGGTATAAGATCAATCACTTGGCGTCCATCCGATGCATCGACTATGGATATTTCATATCCCCCCTTTTCTTTACGCAGTATTTTTCTTACTACACCTGTTGACGTTGCATTATAGACCGTATTGTTACTCTTGCTACCATCAGGATAGATCTGTCCCCTTCCTCGGTTTCCCCCCACATATATGGGATATTTTAAGAAATGAACGTCTTTCTTCATATATATATATATATATATATATATATATATATATATAATGCTACTAGCATGGATGCTACTTAATTACTCTCTCCATCCTTTTTTAAATTCAAAATTTATCATAAAAAGCTTATCGTTTTAAAATATACCTTCCGTCACATCAATCATCTCCAATTAAATATATCCTCTATCCATCCCCCAACTACCAACCATACATTATTTAGAGGGTACTATGGTCATTTTCCGTAAACCTTAATTTTTTGCTAATCTAGAACGACAACTATAGTAGAATAGATGTTCGTCTTATTTGAAATATTTTATAATTTTTTTAAAAAAATTAGTCACACATAAAGTATTATTTATGTTTTATCATCTAATAACAATAAAAATACTGATCACAAAAAAAAATTTCAAATAAGATAAACGGTCAAATGTTAGACATAGACAGTGTAAAACTGTAGTTATTTTTGAATGTAGGGAGTATTTCTTTCCTAGAATAATTTTACTCGGTTGATTCGGTCATCTATTTCTCCCTCTCTTAATCGAAGTGATTGAAAAACCCAAAATCATAAACTGAGCCCAATAAGAAACAATATATTCCACCCACCCCCAGTGCATCTCCATGCAACGACGACGCAATGCAATCCCAAGCACTCGACTCCGCCGCTTGACGCTCGCGGATCTCTAGCACCCGCAGCCGCAGCCGCCGCCGCCCAATGCTCTAGCGCCCATGGATCAGCCATACCTCAGAGGCCATGCGCTAGAGACCGCCGCTTCTAGAATTGCGGAGGAGAGCGATGGGAGCCATGGCCTGCTAGGGAGGTGTCGGTGCCAGTAGGAACGGCAATGGCGGGAGACGACAGTGGCACCAACCGCTCCTACCAGGATCGATGGGATCTGGGGCACCTAGTGGAGATCGAGAGGATCCTAAGTCATGGCTTGATTTCCCCCAGGTTCATTGACTGTTGCTTAATTTGATTCGTCGATCGCTTTTTTTAGTTTTTGTGATTTTTATCACCGTGTCAACTTGTATTGTTGTTAGTTCAGCATGACCTAGACCAAACTGAAGTAACCGAATACTGAAGTGCTTGTTATTCACTTTCCGATGACCGAATTTTCAAAAATACCGTGGAACTACTGATTTGAATTATTCGATCCGATTGAACGGCCAGCCATGCCTAGATAGGAGAAACACGGGCTCCTTTGCAACATTGGATTTTTAACATACATGGATCAAAAAAACGGAAGAAAACTATATAAATGATTGTTTGGATAGAGCCCAGGAAAAAAATATGAATCACAAAAGAGATGAGCACAAAAGGATTTTCACAAGCAGTTGATGAAACTTACGTTGAGAATCCTCCAAAATTTATATGATTTGAGATAATCCTAAGGAATTTGAAAGGAATTAATTGCTTCAAAGATCACGTAGGAATTTTTTTCATAGCAATCCAATGCTCTGAAATTTCTCTAAAATTCTTTTATTCGAAAGTCAAAGAAAAGATGCTCTGAGGTAGATGCTCCAACAAATATGAGATTCTTAGTTTTTGACTCAACACCATTAATCTAATTTCCAACCATATTAGATATACTATCAGGGGTTTCAGTCCGAAGGAAATATAAAATATTCTCCATAGAAATTTTGCAATATGACAGTCAAGGAAAATATGTTCAATAGTCTCAATATGCATAAAAAAAATCACATCTTTGACTCTCATTCCAATTTCTTCTCCTAAATTATTCTTGGTTAGAATCACACCTTTGGATAAAAACTACCAAAATATATTAATCTTAATTAGCACTTTTAGTTTCCATATGAAGATAAATTGATGAGTTATACTTTCTCCGTTTTCAAATTGCTTGTGGTTATTGTCTTGTCATAAGTCAAATATTTAAAACTCATATATAGTTCAAATTACTATTTATTTTGCTAGGGGTGTCCTCCTTAATCAAGTGTTTAATTCCCTTGTACGTGAACGATTCAGAACAATTTTTAAATAATTTTGCGTTCTATGCAACTCCATTTCTGTTGAAAGTTATTTTCCCTATTCCATAGTTGATGCTATATGGGCTATTAAAGTTGAGTACGGGATAAAAAAGAATTGGATGGGTGATCCATGTTTCCCGAGCCAATTTAAATGGGACGGCGTGGAATGTCGGAACACAAGTGATAATATTCCTAGGATAATATCAATGTGAGTATTATTCGCAAGATCTTGCATATATAGTATTATATATTATTAGCTGCCTTCTGTATATTACCTCTGCCTTCTGTTGGATTTCTTAAAATTTTGTTATGCAGCGATCTCTCCAACAGTAACTTGCATGGGGTGATATCTAGTAACTTCACGTTGCTCACAGCACTTGAGTATCTGTAAGTGTCTGAAATTGCCTCTGCTTTTTTATGTTTGAACATCCATATCACATAAATGAGGATCACCAATTTGCCATTCAACTGTTGGAAATTAAAACACAAACTCGATCCACAGCAGAGTATTTTTCACAAGTGATTGGTACTTTACATCCAGTGGCTAGCCAAGATCTGAGCACTGCACGAGAGGGGCAACTTGACTAAGTGATTACGATCGTAAAATTAACTAAAAATAATATGTGCATCATTTACAGAATTCCCATAGGCAATATATCATACGTATCAACATAAAAGAACGTATGATAATACAAAATATAGATCATGAGTAGGTAATCATACTGCATATGTGTACTCATCGAGAAGACAGATCACAAATGGTGACAACATCATCTGAGATAGATAGACAGGCAAATAACCAGACAAAACTATACATTGGGAAAATGAGAAAAACTATCTATCTTGAAAGTATTACTAATATTTTTAAACTTTTGAAATTGAAGTGGAGATGCAAATTATACCATAGGATTGAGGTTCAGTACGTTCATGACCGAGACGTTATAACATAATAAATTGTACCCTTGAAATATTAGCCGCCAAATTATGTAAGAATGATCCAGTAAAAAAAATTATGTAAGAATGACTATCAGATACTTGGATATTAATAAAATGTAGTACTCTAAAAGATTAAGAAAAAAACTTGATTTTCATTGGGCTGCGCAGCGCCGGGAGGGGGGGGGGGGGGAAGGCAGGACCCCCTGTGGCTTCATCCCTGCTGTAGTTGTAGATTGTTGCAGATCAGGACATTACTTAACTTCTAACCTTCATGTCACTTTCCCTAGAAATTTGTCAGGCAACCAATTGAATGGACCAATTCCAGACTCCCTGTGTAAACTAAATGAAGGATCGCTCGTTTTCAGGTGCGTGTACTCTTGTCGATCTGTATTGTTTCACAATCTATATTTATCGAAATTGCAATATTCCTTTGATCATTTGGCATGTGACGGTTCCTTTTACAACAAAGTAAGCTCTGAACTCATTGTTTTGTAATTTCAGTTATGGGTCAAATGGTGATGTCTGCAACAAAACAAACCTGCCCGGATCTAAAAAAAGAGCTGCTATCTTAGCTATCTCAATAGCAGCTCCTGTGCTGGTAGTGGTCTCACTTTTAATTGCATATTTGATCTGGAGAGCGAAAGGAAAGTCCAATAGTATGTGTGCTCTTCTCACGTTACCTGTATTCAAGTATATTGATAATTAATGTTTACTCCATCGGGCAATTATTCTATTTAACTGGTTTTTTATGCAACAAGTTTCTATCCCAGGAAGTGAAAAATATCATTGGGATCGTCTACAAAAAAATGAAAATCGCCATTTCACCTACGATGAGCTGAAGAAGCTTACTGATAACTTCCAACAGTTCATTGGAGAAGGAGGCTTCGGATGCGTGTACCATGGCTATTTAGAAGACAATACTGAAGTTGCCGTGAAGATCCGTTCTGAAAAATCATCGCACGGGTTTAATGAGTTTTTAGCCGAGGTACCTAAATTTTGAAATATGGAGGTTTAAGAAACCTTAGAATACAACTCTGAACTCTCAAAATCATATATATGATTTACGCCATGTTTTCTTTCTCATTACATAGCTTGAGAGCTTGACAAAGGTCCGTCACAAGAATCTAGTTTCTTTGGTTGGCTACTGCTCGGAGAAGGCTCATTTAGCTCTTATTTACGAGTACATGCCTAGAGGCAATCTTTTTGATCTTCTGAGAGGTTTGTACGTACACTCCGAAGTTTAGTCTTTATTATAACTAGTAATGTGCCCGTGCTAACGCTACGGTGATATCTTATAATTCAAATGCTGTACATCCAAATTGCCAAAAAAAAAAAACTTCCACGTACCGCTGTTCGTAATACAAAGTATAATACACATAAACCACAATAAGAACATAAGAGCCATTTTACAATCCACTTGATGTTCGATAACTATGCATCTTTGGAAATGGCATGAGAAGGGTAACAAATCTAGTTAAGTGGTATATTAGGAAAATTGGTTTCAGTGGCAAGGAATTCTCTCGATCATCTATATTATCTGCATAATATGATCACTGCTTCAGAAAAATATTATCTGCATACTATGACCACTGCTTCAGAAAAATATTATCCAGATCCCCACAAAACCTAAACAATTCTGATTGATCCAGTATGTAGGAGAATACTTGGATATCTACAGCCACTGCGTGCTTCAGATTTATTTAACAGCCCCATAGCCAATTATGCACTTCAATGTGTTCAACTTGAAATGCCTTGCTTGTGCTGCAGAGAGGTGAAACGAAATCTTAAGAACTATTAAGGTGTTTCAAAACAAACAAAAAGGCTAGGCCTTGAACAACATAAATCAGGTTCATTTAAATTTTTAGCTTGCTCAATGTTTTCCTAGGCAAGAGTTAGCATAAACACCAACTTTAAACAATACCATATCTTAAGGGGAATCATGATTGATCATCAAGTGGGGAATAATGCAACTATTGACAATCCTGCCAATTAGGTACAACACAAAATCATGTAAATCAGTGTATCATTTTTCAAAAAAGATAAGTTGATCAAATCATGTAATACCAGTCAAACCACACATCAGTCAAGCTGACCTCACCGACCCAGAGGTCGCCGCTTCCCTGGCCCTTCACCCGAGCAGCACCTCCATGTGCCCTACAACAATGATATAGGCCTCCACCTCTGCTGTCATTGGCTGCCTTGTAAATAACACTCGATGTAGTTCAATAGATGTCAAACCACCTGGTTAAACATGAGGCACATGATTTTTTTTGGTAGAAACTTGGAAAAGAAAACATTCCGAAATAGCACAATTTATTTGTACTGATAAATAGAAGATTATTTGGAAAAGAATACATAGAAGTAAGGAATGAACTGGATATGAAGAACATGATCTGAAATATGGGACCTGATCACTTAACATGACCTCAAATCGAGCAGTTCATGGGACTCTCATTCTCCCCTTCCCTACAAACATCAAGACAAACCACTAATATTGTACTGACAAAATTTGTAGCCTTGCTTGGGTAAATCATTGCATTTATTATTAATTGTTATACAACACTCCAACGGAGAACAAGGTATTTAGGTTAAAAAGATCAAGATAATAGAGCTTCGACATTTAGAAAAAAAAAACGTGCATATATAACCCTAATAATTAACTATTTGCCTAATGGAGAGCGGTGGCGAACTCATCAGTTCGACCATCATGAATTGGTTGTAGAGTTTTTTTAGATAATAAATGTGACTCATATTTGCTTTCTCCGCTCCATTGCTCACCTATTCACTATCTATCAGTATGAAAAATGGAGCCACTCTACGGCGAGGAGAACCAAATTATACTGGAGATTATATCATTAATTACCTATAGCTACAATGATATTATTGCCCTGAGTAAGCATTAAATCAATCACCTACCGTGCAATGTGCAAATGGGAATCTAGATCATCATGAGGCAATAGCACATGGGAACTGAAAAGGGGACGAGGCGTGATATTGAAACTGACCACATGTCGTAAGGTTTAGTAAAGTCATAGGCGGCTAGAACTCATTCCAGCCTGGGGCTTGGCAACATCCTGAATTTGTAGTGCGACGGTAGGAATGGTGACATCCTGTTTAGCAAAGAGAGGAAGTAATGTTTATTCTTCTGACATATAAAGTCAGAATTTGAGAAATCAAAATGGAACAATCCCCTGCCTTTCTCCTTGCCCTGATTTCCTAGTCGTCAATCCACTGCCCTTCTCCTTGCAAAAAAAAAAAAAGAAGTGCTGCACAAAAATCAAGTTGAATTTTCATTAAGAAATGAATTCAGTGATTAGGAGTAGATGAGAAAACCAAGCTTAAAACGTGAATGTAAGTAGCAAATGGAGATGTATTTTTAGGACGAAAATATATAATAAAGCATTTTTAGATGTTTCCTACATTAAAGAAATAATGTATCTACTATTTATATGTTCTGCTTAAATTTACATTCATGAATATAGTTTAAAGCAATGTTTACAAAAATTCATATTATATGTTTTTGGATACCACCCATCTGCCCTATTTATATGCGCGTGTTTAATTTGTATTGTCAAATGTCGTCATAGCGTTAGCATCGAATTTTGCGCATTTTATATTGGGCATAGTAAAGAATTAAGGACAAACCAAAACTACCTAACACTAATTTCTCACTTCCATTGTATCTTATCAAAATAAGTAACTGTGAGCATGAGAAATGCAGTGCTAAATGTAGCTCCCGTAAGCAAACAAAAGGTGGAATATATTTTATATGGTAAGAACACACAAATTAGCAGCTTCCAAGCTCTGATTCCATGGCCATAGCTAAATATTACAACAGATTTTGTTACTTTAATCATATGGCCGCTGCATCTCTTCTCACGCAGAAAAAGGATCCAGAATCTCTTGTTAATAAAATGCATGTTCTGTTCCGTTTTCACATGTCACCGTACAATTAATACACAGAATCAGGAATTTGAACCGTAATGATTGAAGGAAAGGGATTGAGCAATGATTACCGTGTTCACGTCGTGGTGGAGAGGGCTCCGGTGGCTGCGGTGCAGAAGGGGGCGAGAGGTGAGGAGTCCTGGCGGCGGCGCAGGATCCTTGCCGGCGCGAGGGGCGCTGTCAATCTAGAGGCGGGAATCGACGGCGGCGCGATAGCGGGGCGTCGGCGACACGAGGGGTGGGGGATCGACGGCGCGTGACGGTGCGCTATCTGCGCTTGGTGGGACGTCGGTGGCATCGCGAGTCGATCGATGCGGTCGCTGTGATGGGCGCTGATGACATCAGTGGAGGTGGGATTCGACGGCGGCACAATGGCGAGGCATCAGAATCGACGGTGACGACGGCACAATGGCGAGGCATCGGAATCGACGGTGGTGGCGGCGTGAGTGATTTTGGGGGGGGAGGGGGTGGTGGTGTGCGAGAGGCAGAGAAGAGAGGAGAGGGAGTCGGGTGCATGCGGAGGGGAGAGGGGGCACAGCGCGACGACGATGACGAGCGCTTGGTCTAGGGTTTTCTATGGAGGATGCGCAGCGGCGCAGCGCATGCGAGACGGGGAGAGAGGAGTTGGGTGCGAGAAGGAGAGTGGGATCGGGGGAAGCGCGCGGAGAGACGTGCGGGCGTGGGGCGAGTGGGAAAGATGCGATGGGATCCGTGAGACGATCCGATCCGTTGGTTCTATCGTAGATGATACAGGCCGTTGGATTTGATGAATGAGTATGTAGGTATAAGAATGAGTTGGTGAATTATAGGGTAGACTAAGAATTAAAATGTTGCCTTACTATTTCAAAGTTACATAATGATATTTAATTATTTGAACCCTAGAGAAGCCATCTTGTCTAATTTGAAGAAATGTCAATATGTGAAGTAAGAACATTTATGTGACTATCTAAATCTCTTCCTTGTGAATACCTGCAATAGAGAGTAACAAATTAGTCCTAGTTTTATATTCCTGATCCTATCGTTATTGTACTTGCTACTTTGAGTTTGTCAAAGAAACAATCCTATTTTGATTAATTTATTCAACACTGTGATAGAATTGCGTAAATTTCTAAAACTGAAATGTAAGTTTTTGAACTTTTTGTTGGGTGCCATTCTAACTATATCTGTCTACATTCCACACATGAAGATAAAACTGGTGTGGGTGAATCCTTGAATTGGGCAATGCGTGTGCGAGTTCTGCTTGATGCTGCACAAGGTACAACTATATAAATGTATTTGTTTTAAGCAAATGTGTTTAGACTGGAGCACTTCTTTTTTTCTCACCGTAGTTATTTTTTTGGGGCATGTTAGGTCTAGATTATCTGCACACAGGTTGCAACAGGCCAATAATTCACCGCGATGTGAAGACCAGCAATATTCTTTTGGATCAAAATCTACATGCTAAAATAGCAGATTTCGGACTTTCTAAAATTTATCTTAGCGACACGCAATCGGGCTTGTCAACCACTGTAGCTGGAACCATGGGCTACATTGACCCAGAGTATGTGCTTCGTTCTACATCCACACTAGATCAATTTGTATATTTGTTTTGTTCAGAAATAAGTAAACTTCACAAAAAAATGCAATTATTTTGACTTTGCTACAACTTTAGATGGGTATTTCATAAAACTTCAACAATATCAAGTGATTTTCTCATATTTCATAAAACTGCAACAATATCAAGTGATTTTCTCACAATACCGCAACTTTAGCGCCTACGTGTGTATGATATGTGGGCCCAACTTACTCTAGCATAAGTATTGCATGTGTGTATAACATGTTGGACCAAAACTTGTTAGACGAATAAAGTTACAATTTTCCGTTAAAGTCATATATTGTTGTGGCAGTTTCCTGAAATATCTAGCTAGCTAAAGTTGCAGCAAACTTATAATTTTGATAAAATAGTTGCACTTATCTGAAATTTACTCTTAGTTGAATGTATTTTTTTTGTTAGTTCAGTTTGCCATGTCGAGAATAGATTGCCCAATTAATTATGTTACTTCTATGCATCTCATCTTTAGCCTCGTTACTTATTATAATAAAATATATTTTTTAGATACCATATAACTGGCAGGGTCACGGAGAGTAGTGATGTTTATAGCTTTGGTGTTGTTCTTCTGGAGGTAGCCACCGGTCAGGGTCCAATCTTACAAGGCAATGGTCACATTATTCAACATGTCAAAGAGAAAGTTGCCTCAGGAGATATAAGCTCCATTGCCGATGAGCGGCTCAATGGTGGCTACAATGTCAGCTCCATGTGGAAGGTGGTGGAAATCGCTCTGCTATGCACGAAACCTCTTCCTGCTCAAAGGCCATCAATGACTACGGTGGTTGTTCAGATGAAGGAGAGTCTGGCATTGGAGGTAGCTCGCGAGGATAGGGGGCTCCAGGCAAACCCAACGGGTGATGCGGTGGCTACATCATCTACATTTGATCCATCTGCAAGATGAAAACCCTGTACCTATATATGCAACTATGTGAAACCCCGCGCGTTGCTGCAGGAGTTTATTATGACAACAATAAGTTAAAATAATATGTAAGATAGCTTAAACAATGTAATCTAGTACATAAGTTTACATAAGTTGATAAGATTTAAATTTAAATAGTATATAGAATGATGATTCAAAAGTAAAAGTAAGATGATGTGAGAGAACAAAAGAAGATAATTTTGACCATACATCTAAGGGCTAACAAAATTGAGATGATATGACTAAATGGGAGAAGAAAAGAAGAGAGATAATTTGAACCATAGATTAATCATCTAAAGACTAAAAATAATTTATGTGATATGACTTAATTGAAGAAAAGAAAACTAATATGAACTAAGTGAGAATGAACTTTATAGGTATATAGGATATTATAAAAAATGATAGAGATATATATTGAAATATTATGTGAATTATATGTGGGATGATTTAACATGCTTATATTTTAAATCTCTAAAATTTAATAAATTATTATATTATAGATAATATAGCATGTTTGCATGATGCTTAAATGTAATTAATTATTAGTGGATGATGATGCGATATCTTTGCATGCATGTTAAGTTTTAGGAATTAGTGGGCTATATAGTAAGAGAGGATATGCCTGCCTTTGGTGCATCATTGATGCTCTCCCAATAATTACGTGATCCTACAGGTCCTCAACACTATGACTATCTTGTGATATAAACTATGTTATTGTGTGCTCATTTGTCTTTTGAAGTATTGCTTAGTTATTTGACTTTTTGTAAAACAAAAAAGTACCAGTTGGCTATCTTGGTGTCACAAACAAATTTACTTTAAAAAATCGTGTCAAAAAAGTTAAGCATTATTACATGAGAGGCAAGAGCAGAGGAGAAGGTATAACAACAGGACAGAGTTTGAGCAATGTTTAAGGTCTTAAAGCAATTAGATCACCGATTTGTTGTCGGGATGTAAATATAAGGCCTCTGTTTTGTTGTATTTTCATAAGAACTGAACTAATTATAGAATTTCCACCTTCCAAAAGGCTGTGCTTGAAAGTGTGGGTTCGGAACCCATTTCTCCCCCATAAAAAATGAGGGAGCTCATTAGCACGTGATTAATTAAATAGTAACAAAAAAAATTGAAAAATAGATTAATATGATTTTTTTCTAAACTAACTTTCATATATATATTTTTAAAAAAACACTGATTAGCAGTTCGGGAAGCGTGCGTATAAAAACAAATAAAATTAGAGGTTAGAAAAGGGTACAAACGAAGTATTATTTTTCATGTGAGTTTAATTAGTACAGGTTTTCTTTTCTGGAATATTGTACCTAGTATTCTACTACTTAATTACATAAAATAATACTTGTAGCATCCTGATTAATTCTCTCCCGTTCCTGTGCTTCATCCCAATCTACTGCTCCATGTATAGTCCTCACTTCTTTTTTTAGCTGTAAACGACAGGAGATTTGTCAGATATATTCGAAGGAATAAAATTGCCAATTGTTACAATTAGCGAGAAAAATTAAAAAAAAAAACAACTGGCTAAGGGGCGACAAAAACTTTTTAAGGGATTATAGGGGTACAAGAGAAAACCAAATACAGGAAGGCTTAGGCTAGAATGGGCTATTAGGTCTATATTTTTCTTTATTTGGAAAGCTACTTGGGCTTCACTTTGCACTAGTAAAAAAACCATCAATTGTGCCGGTTCCCAACAGGCTATAGGTGTCGGTTTTCCAACCGGCACCTATTGGTCGGCACCAATACAAGCAACCGGCACTAAAACAAAAATAGAATCGGCACCTATAGGTTTGCACGAGACAAAAAAAAAAGAGCCGGCTCGAATCGAGCCGAAAATCACAATCGCCTTCACTGCGCCATGCACAAACCATCCCCAAATCCCCACATCACAGACCATCCACAAATCACATTTGAAATCCCGAAATCCCCACATCACAGATCATCCACAAATCAAAAAACATCTTAAAAAAAATTTACAAAATCATCCAAAAAAATTCATCGGGCGCCTGCCACCGCCGCCCGCTGCCTCCCCTCCCACCAAATCCGACGGAGGGGAGTGCGCGGCCACCGCCGTTGCCATCCCTGAGGTCCGCCGTCTCCCCTCCGGTCGGATCTAGCAGAGGGGAGGGCGCGGTGGCCACTGCCACCTCCGACGGACCGCCGCTGGCCGTCCTCAAAGGTCCACCACCTCCCCTTCGGCAGGATCCGGCTGAGGGGAGGGCGCGGCCGTCGCCAGCCCCTGCTGCCGCCTCCGCCTGGCCACCGCCGCCAGCCGCTGCTGCCGCCTTCGCCTAGCCACCGCCGAAGCCCAACTGCCCTCCCCTACATGCTCCCTACCACGCCGCCACCTCCGTCCGTGGGGTGCCCGTCGCCTCCCCTCCCGCCGGATCTGGCGGAGGGGAGGACGCGGTTGCCGCCGCCGGTTGCCAGCCGAGGGGGCTCACCATCTTCGCCGCTCAGCCGAGACGCGAGACGTGAGAGCTGAGAGAGAGGGGAGGGAGAGAGGTAGGAGTAGATGGATAAGGTGGAGAGATGAGTTGATTATAAGGACGCACGGTGGTGTGGTTCGATTATGGGCTCGGCTCAAACCTATAGGTGCCGGTTTTTATAAGTGCCGGTTTTTACGCTAGAACCGGCACTTATAATGATTAAATGTGCCGGTTCTATGTTTTTCCATCGTAGGGAGGTGGAAAAAGCCTCATAGGTGTCGGTTTTAAATGAACTAGCACCTATGAGCCGTTCTCTATGAGGGTTTTTTAGTAGTGGTGATCTCTGGTTGAAGATTCTTCGATTTTACTCGTAACACTAGCTTGTGTGTAGGAAAATAGATCAGGTGGACAACGGTGGCTTGACATACACATTACCTTACGCATTGTAAATCTCTAAAATTACTAGTAACATTACTAGTACTTAGTACATTACTAGTACTTCGATTGTGACATTTCCCAACTCTAGAAATTAAAAGGGAAAACTTTCCCTATAGACATTGTTGGTGCTACAAACATAATTCCTCTATGTTTACACCCAAATTTGGCACCTTCGGATGAAATAGGGAAAATTGCAAAAGTTTGGATAGCACCAGGTTTCCTTCACAGGGCCGGTCAGACCGTAGGTGTGTGGCCAGTCTGACTGTCAGAGTCTGAGTCTGAAGCGAATTTCGTCGGGTCTCGGATTTCCTTGCTCGGGAAGGTATATTTCGAGTTTCCATTGGTTTCTACCCCGTGTTGGACGTGGAGGAGACCTGTAGGAGGCAAGACCAACCCCTATATAAGGGACAAGGTCGGTTCAATTGAGGAGACAATCTACTTTCAACACAATTAGCCAATTGATTTGTTGTTTTCAATATTGCATCTACTTTTCGCCTAGTTCGAGCCTAGTTCACACGGCGATAAGAACAAGTATATTTTTTAGGAGTTACCCTATTGGGAAGTCTTAGAGGTCCAACACACAATCAACGTGATGCACCTCACTAAGAATTTGTGCATCAACCTGCTTGGCTTCCTTGGTGTATATGGGAAGTCGAAAGATACACTTGAAACACGTAATGATCTCAAGCATATGAAACAACGCGATGGCTTTCATCTGGAACCGAAGGAGAAAGGAAGCCGTTACTTAAGTCTAGCCAACTACACTCTGAGCAAGGCAGAGAAAAAAAGAATGTTCGAATGCTTGGAGAGCATCAAGGTACCGTCTTGATACTCCTAAAAAATAAGGGAATAATAAGCACGAAAACGAAGAAGTTCACAAATCTAAAGTCTCTACTTGCTGTTATAATTCGAGCATCCTTCCTGATAATGTCCGAACAATAATAAGAAAGCTAATGTGCTTTTCTGAATGAAGTTTCACAGAAGATCATCAACCCAGACAGATTAACAACCCTACAAAATGACGTGGTGCAATGTCTTGTCAGCTTTGAGATGATCTTTCTACCATCTTTCTTCAATATAATTACGCATCTTCTGTCACCTTGTAAAAGAGATCGGTATTCTTGGTTGTGTAGCTACACAACATGTTCTCTTTCGAGAGGTACATGGGTGTTCTAAAGAAGTACGTTCGTAACCATTCTCATCTGGAAGCTAGCATAGCCATGGGGTATGGAACAGAGGAGGTCATTAAGTTCTGCGTATAATTAATTGAAGACCTTTGTCCAATCAGGGTCCCTGAATCAAGCCATGAGTAGAGACTACGGGGAAAGGGAATTCTTGGAAGGAAAGCAAATATTAACGGTAGACAATGATTTATTCTGTAAAGAACATTTCTCGGTTTTGCAACAATCTTTGTTGGTGTCTCCTTACATCGAGGAGCATTTGGCGGTTGTTCGCTCCAAAAATATCGGAAGTTGCCGTCAAATCCACCTCCACTAGGGCTTCGGTCGATCAATATGCCCCGGTGTATGTATCCACCACCTCCGGGCCAACAATCGATAGCTCCGCAACACCGGGGCCCGTGGCTAACGAACTACACCCCTCCCACCATCGGAGGGAGAAGGTCGTTGATATCCGACCTCACCTAGTGTCGCTGCCGACAATTGTCGGAAATATAGTCATAATTCAGCATATTTGAATCCAGAAAAAGGATAATAAACATGACACGTGTACCAGGAATTGATCCCGTGATAGTGCTAAACATGAACGTGCTAATAACTAGATAAGCATCATCAAGAAACATGTTTAACACTATAGTGATGAAGGTAACATACCTAGAGAACGCTCCGGTACTATATGAGGTAGTGTTGGTGTTGATGCCTCTATTAGTGTTACAGTTCTTGCCTCCTCCTCCAGTGCCATTGCCTCCAGCACCACAATTGGCGCTGTTGCCGTCAACACATCCACCATTGCCGCCACCGGTTGACATGTCGACGTAAAGAAAGTAGACGAAGCAGTGCAGAGAGTCGACGTAGAGGAAGCAGTGCAGAACCAATGCAGAGTAGTCGCGCTAGAAAGCGCTCCCCAAAAACTATTTTGTCCGTCTACTTGTGTAGGTACTCAAGCGGATGGAGTTCCGGAGGCTTGCTCATCTTAATCTCTTAGGCCATTCCCAACCCAAGACACTAGATATAGTTTCTATAAACTCTACATCATCATGAAACTAGAACTAGACACTACTATTCTAATGCAAACACCACAATTCCACACTT